TCAGATTAGTGTTTCAAGGCATCTACACAAACCACACGGATGAACCCTAGTGCCTAAGAATGAAAAAGCAATGAGACCAGGAAGGATAAGTCCTGTCAATCAGAAATCCTGTGGGGGAGGAAAAAAGGAAGTTGTTGAGAAGATGAGATAGAGGAGCGGTGGTCCCCAGACACCTCCAGTCTGTGGAAGTAGAACTCTCCTTCTAGCTGCCTGATGTTCACTCAGCCTTTGTAGATCCCGATAAAAAGCACAGTGTTCCATCTGCCAGATGTCTCTATTATCACAAGCTTTATCCATTTATTCATTTAGTTCTATTCTCACAGATTTCCTATGCCTCAATTCAACAAACTGACTCCCTCGAGATGGTTGGTGCTGTTTGGATCCATCTCAAAGGGCAGACAATCTTGAATTTCTTGGTTAAAAATAAGTTTGGCCTGTAAAGGAACAAACTCAACATGCAGACTTTTTTTTTTTTTTTTTTTTTTGGTGGTGGTGTGGTGGTAAAATATACATAAAATTGATCATTTTAACATACAGTTCTATGACATTAATTACATTTACATTATAGCGCCACTGCCACCATCCATTTCCAGAGCTTTTTCATCTTCCCCAGCTGAGACTTTGTACCCATTAAACAATGTCTCCCCATTTCTCCCTTCCCTAGCCCCTGGCAACCACCATACTACTTCTGTCCCACTGAATTCGACTACTCTAGGTACCTCGTATAAATGGAATCATGCAATATTTGTCCTTTTGTGACTTGTTTATTTCACTTAGAATGTCTTTAAGGTTCATCCATGTTGTAGCATATGTCAGGATGCCTTTCCTTTTTAAGGCTGAATAATTATATAGACTTTGAAGATGTTGCAGTCTCAGTGAAAGGCCTCATATTTTGAAACTTGTTATAAAACTTCACGTTTAATGATGCTTTAAAAAACTGAATTATTTCATTAGTATATAACTAATGGAAAGTATAACTGAGTATTTATTGTAGCTGGTGGAAAGTAATGTATGAATTTCTTTTCACGAAAACTGTCTTTACATAGTGGTATCTTAAGTTAGAAACTAAGTATTGGCATCCTTGCAGAGAGACTGTATTATTTGTTTAGCATCTGTGGTTGTAGTCATTCAGGAAAGTGACATTCTGTAATGCCTGGCATCTGTGTGATAAGGCACATAAATAGAAGTCTACAGGTAATTTAGTACCCCAAGGTTACTCACTGAAATAACCAGATCAAAAATCAAATGGCTGATTTTTCATCAAATGTTCCTCCCATCTTCTCTTACTAACCACCCTTGCTATAAGAAAAAAAAATTGTTTTAGACACAAACATCATAAGCTATCTGTTTACATGTTATATGTTTACGAATTCTGGATGGTTTCATAAAGTTTATTCGTAACTTAGACCTGTTGATACAAACACATGCCGCAATGTTATCAAGAGGTGGAATAGGCAGGGCATGTCACTTACAATTTTTTAAATTTACAAATATTAATTTTTAAGCTGTCTTCAACTTTAGAGATATCATTTTTCCCATGGGACACCGCTTCTTCAATATCCTTTTAACTACTATAGAATGAGATGAGAAAGCAACTAAAAGGGGAATGAAAAAAATTTGATCACAGCAGAAAGACAATTTGGACATAATAATAATAGATGAAGACACCAGAAGGAAGAGCTTGTAGGATGAGGTGGAGAACAAAATATATTGGCCCCTGATGTCTGTGCTAAAAGTGATTTTTTAGAAGAATTTTGTGTATCGCTCTTGTCATAAACATTCAGCTTCATTGTGCAATAAAGACAGATGAGAAGAATTTGCTGCTCCAACAACCAAAAAACCACTTTACTGTGTCCTTGGAATCTGGCTTATTTGGTTTCAACTTTGCAGCAGAAAACTTGTGCCTGCAAGGGCTGGGGGCAGTTGTTTATGTAAGTTATTGGACATCTTCATAAATATGAAATTTGGGGCAAGTCCTTCTATTCTCATCTGTTCCAAAGCCAGAGTTTGCTCTAAAGCTAAGAGGCAGGCAGACTTGAGAGAGGAGCAGTTAAGCTGTCCTATGCTGACTTTCTTACATAAACTTCAAGGTTATGAGGTTTTCTCCATTTTGTTACCAAATGATAGAAGGGAGAAAAACACGTTTTAAGGGTCACTTATCAGGAAGAAAAGTGTTTTAGACTGGGGAGAACTTTTGTAGATCAGAGAGTGATAGGAAACATGAAGAAAAGACAGGAGACAGGGAGACTGGTGGAAAAACATCCCAAGGAAAGATTAAGAGCATTAGATGGAGATTTGACAATGGCCAGGAGGAAAAATGGACCTTTCTCAGACACAAGAGACAAGTGAACAGTCAAGAAGATAGAAAGGAATTTTGACACTAAGAAAAGGGATACTGAGGAAACTCAATATCGTATCAGCAAGTTAGGTAGTGAGGTAATCTTCTGAGAAAGAATGGGTGGAACTTGGGTCTTGGGAAGGTTTGACCCAGTTCCAGTGAGAAATGCAAGAGGGAACTAGAAAGATGAATGAAAAGATGATCAAGTGGGGTGAACCAGTCATAGTGGAGCATAAGAACATCATTGTGTTTGGAGGCGGTATTTGAAATCTGAGTTGGGGCAATTCAGAGTAATGATTATATCTAAAGTGATCATATCTTTGTGAGTGCCAATAGAGGCCATTACAGTTGAGCAGATCGAGGAAGTACAAGGCTCAGGTATCATTGCCAACTGCTGTCTTATAGAAGCCAATGAAGAGGCAAACAAAAGACAAAGGAGAATTGAAAATTTCCACAGTAATATCTGAAAAACCTTTGATTAACCTTGGGTTTAGAATCGTATAACTCCAAACCATCTCAGTAGCATTCAATTTAGCAGAGCAGTACGTATTTACTTTAAAATTCTACTCTAGCATTGGATCTATTATACCATGGAGGTTAAGATGGGTGGATATCAAGAATAAAGAGAAATGAATACCTGTGTCAGTTTCTATACACACCAGTACTAACACCTAAACACAAATTATTAGCGTTGACAATGTAGGCAAGATTTACTTCTTCCTACCATGTCTACCCCAGATCCTCTGCTCTTTGTCGTGCTGGTGCCTGGACTGATAATCACATTGCTCAATTGGTTGTGCCTCCTATGACAAAAGTGGAAGAGATTACACAAGGGCAAAAATTAAGAGGTGGAATAGGGTAGTCTGAATAAAAAGAAGGCTGCATAAATATGAGGCCTTTATTGTGTGAGACAGTCCCAAATTGAAATCACCACTCCTACTAGACAGAAATCCTAGTTTTTTTTTTCCGCTTTGAGACTGCTGATTATCAAGAATGCAATTAGTCTATTCTAACACCTTTGTGTGAATTAGTAAAAATTCACACAAAGGCAGAGGCAGGCAAGACCAGAGTGCATGGCTTGGTGAGATGAACATAGGCTGGATTTCCACATCCACTTGACTGCTTGGGCAGGCACCTTGTACGATGAACAACTCAAACATCTGCATGTTTTGCTCCTAGAGTGGTTATTCACTCTTTTAGGCCTAAGGCTTCTGGGAGTAAATCCTGAGCTAAGAACCACAGTCCCATTCTAAAAATTATATTTCGGATTCCTGGTCCACAATGTACCTTGGTAACAACTGGAAGACACAGAAAAGCAGAGTCAAGGCTTTGCAGGGTATGCCACTGCTAGATACTTGCATTGCTCTAAATACGTAATTTTCCCCTTTAGTTAACAAAATGAATAACTCTACATGAAAGGCTTTTTGTTTTATGTAAGGACAAGCTCTAGCTGCCTCTTCATTTTCATTTTTGTGGTTTAGTGATAGCGAGTAGATTTTTATATGTAAGATTTACCTTACCCAGTGTACTCAGTCAGTAAAGTTATGGGAAAAGGCAGAGGGGTGGACTTTCCTCCATTCCTTACCAGTCAAGTCTGTGTTTCCATGGCTTTTTTCCATGCAACTACAGTAAACCAGGCAGCGAATCGTAGAGTTTCAGAAATGCAACATGATTAAACCATGGTTGAATCCTGCTACCTCACTCTGGCTGTATATCAGATTGACAATGTTCAGACATGCTTACGGGGCTCTGAAAGTTGCAGTGGAAGGCAAATGAAAGTTGTGCCTCTGCTGAAATCTGAATCTATAATTCGTGAGCGTGAGCAGTGTCTACACCACACAAAGTGGTTCTTTGGATCAGACTGCAGGAACTTGTCAATTTCTTTAATGAGAAGAGACAATGAGTGTAGTATGAGTAGAGGGTAGAATTCAATGAGTAGAGACCCATCATTGGAATCACCTTCAGTGAGGTTAGCTTCTATCCACCACCTTTGCCATGGGTGTAATTTTAAATGTTCACAAGAGGTTTGTGAGGCTAGACTTGCTTCTGTGGAAAGGCCTTATATGTGTGTTTTTCTTCTTGGGAAAGATAAGCTTTCCAATTAAATGAAGAATTCTCTGGCTATCCTTTCATTGTTACTCTTTCAGGGTGAGATGCGGCTGACATCTGTCAAATGTCAGCCAAGCTTCAACTCCCATTCTTGACTAGCAACCACTATCCATCCCAGAGTGACGGGACAAGACCTGGGTGGGTCTGGCTTGTTGCCTGACTTGAGCCAAGGCTATAACTGGGATCTCTATAGGCCATAAGCCTTTAGCCTTTAACAGTTAAGTCAGTAGAAGCTCAATAAAGGGGTCCTGTAGGAAGCCCCCCTTGGCTTCTCTCTGCTTATAAAATCTGTAACACATGTTGACTAGATCCAAAATCATGTCATTGCCTCATAACTTTTTGAGGTTCCAACTTTCAGGGCCCTTGGGAGAGGAGCAGTTGTTATTATAAGGTCAGAATTTAGGACTGGCAATTAAAGCCATTTGAGGTCTCTTCTCTCTGTGTTGTCTCCATTGCTTTTAGGCAGCCACAGAGATCTGGCTGCTCTCAGACTAACAGCCCACGCAGCACTGACATGTAGAAATGAGATAAACAACTAGATTTTGTTCCCCAGGAGAATACATTGATGAGCATGGCCACTGCCAGATCTGTGAAGCCTCATGTGCCAAGTGTTGGGGGCCGACTCAGGAGAACTGCACTCGCTGTCCTGTCACAAGGTGAGTAGTCTCTCAGTATCTCCTATGGTTGAGAGCTCACGGGTTGCAGGATAGAGAAAGGTACCCCTTGGGCCTGAAGGAGAAAGAAAAAGTCCTTCTCGTGACACCGTGACCCTCTGTAGTCTGACCACAGCCTACCTCTGTAGCACCTTCTCCCCATGATGCCCGGTACCCACTGCATGAATCAGTATCCTGGACACTAGTGGGGCTTTCTCATCGATGAAGATGATGGTGCCTTTGATGCCTGGAATTTCATCCCTTTCTGCACACCCATAACTCAGTCATCTCCATCTGCTGAGCAAATATCTGCTCGTTTTCTAGAATCAGTTCATGGGTAAACTGTTCTATGAAGGCATTTTTTACCTCTTCCCAGTATAATTAACCTCTCTCCCTTTATGTCCCCCTGTGCTCTGTATAAACTTCCCTAAGAGCAACTGTGACATTGTAAGACATTCATTTACAAAGCTATCTCTTCATTAGACTGTACATCCCTTGAAATACTCATCTTTGTGTCTCTATAACCTATCATAGTGCTAGGAAAATAGTAAGAACTCAATAAATGTGTGATAGCTGAATGAATGAGGAAATAGAAAGTATCTGAATGAGATGAGTATCTCTGCTAATATGCTGGGATTATCTAATGAAGAGAGTTGGGAGCCTACTGTATTTTTAGTCAACACTCCTCTGATTCTAGCACTTAATATTTGTTGGCTGACTGAATGTTCGAATGGCCTCCTCACTGCTCTGCTAAATGCATAGGAAGCAGAGTCTCTCCCCAGACCAGTATGACGAGGCTGCTCCCATTGCAGGTGAATCTCTAGGATGGATGTTCCTTCCACCTTACACAACGGTCATTTCATCTAATTCTTCCTCAGGCCTGTAATATCATGTGTAGGAACTGTGGTATATTTGTCTCTTTATCCCCCCACAGTGATCAGCATATAGCAACGATTCAATAAATGTGTGTTTCATTGAACTTGATAAAGTAGGTAATCAATATCATGAGCTTGGCTCTCCAAATAGCTCCCTCAAAAGAGAAAGAAGGAAGGGAGAGAGGAAGAAAAGAAGGCAGTGAGGAAAGGAGGGAGGGATGAAGACACAAAAGAATAGTCTTAAGAATTCTCAATGATAACTGTGATAACACCTTCCAAGTGTCTCTTTAAGATATTTATGCCTCTAAATATTAAACTTGCTTTAAAGCAACTTCAGAGCATACTGTTAGATACAGACGGCATTCTAAAAATGGATCTAATTTCTCCTCTAACTTCTCATCACATTAGTAATCAAACTACACACTTCTTTGAACTAAGGGGACATTTTAGCATTTGTTTAATAAGGGAGCTACCATCATCCAGTGTACATTGCAGAAGTCATGATTGTCTCAGACTTACCAGAAGTGAGGAAAACAATTCTACTACCATAAATTAAAAAATTGGTAAAAGATCAGCTGTACACCCCCTGGGCCATTCAGGTAGTTGAACTTATTTAAGTTCATGCTTTAGCTTTTGAAGAAAGAAAAACATCTGTAAGTGTACACCCCCGGGGCCATTCAGGTAGTTGAACTTATTTAAGTTCAAGCTAAAGCCCATGCTTTAGCTTTTGAAGAAAGAAAAACATCTGTATGGATCTTGAACCAGGGTGTCCTCCTAAGGAAATCTTATTCCGCAGGAAAAATTTTCTCCTCATCTCCTGAGCACTCCATTTCTTTCCCCATCTCTCCTCCTTGATGTCAATTACTTGCAAATATGTCCAAGAAAGGGCATTGTATCATGGCAATAAACTACCTGACTTCTTTTCTTGTCTGCATTTTCCTGGAAGGGGGTTGAGAAGATGAGGTGAAAGAAACTATTTTAAAAGACAGTGATGTTGACTTATTTGTTCTTGAAAGGGCAGCACTGAATTTCCCAAAGTATTTCTGTGAGTGGAATCAGGTCCATTCAAGGCAGTCTTGAGCCCTTAGTTTATATCCAGCTCTGAGTTAGGCACAAGGCCCATAAATTCTTATAGGTATCTCAAGAGGTCAAAGTTAAGGGATGGTGAGCCACTCAGGGACAAGCAATAGTGGGGCAGTTTTAACACACTAGGCCTGAAGCCAAAGCTGCAACCATAGAACAGGAGATGCCTTATAGAAACTGGAGCTATAGGGGACACAGCCATTTCAAAATCATGGAAGAAAGAAGCAGAGTTGTGACTCCAAGAGGAATAAATATCCCAATCTCTCCTCCCACCCTCAGATCTCCTGCTGGTGTTTCCTATCTGAAACTAACTGGTGCCCAATGGGAAACATCACTCACAAGTAAGGGAACTAGCTTGGAGATGCAGTCCCCAGTGGGCACACTTCCAAGACAGCACCAAACATAATGCGGGAAAATGGATCTGGGCCAGGGGTAAGGGGAGACAAACAAAATACACAGGACAGTTGGTCTCCAAGTTTCTTCCTATTCTTAAATTTTTTGGATATTTCCAGTCCCAGCAGAATGAAGTTCAACTCTAAAGGAGATTTGCTTCGAAACAATATGGAAGGGAAGTAAATCAGTGGGGATAGAGATGAAATAAGATTGACTGTGTGTTGACAATTGTTGAAGCTGAGTGATGAATATAAGAGGAGGGGTACTGTTATGTCTTGCATGTATGTTTATCTTATATATGTTTAAATTTTTCCATAGTAAATTTTAAAAAATAATTTAACCCTGAAGTTGTTTTATAGGAAATACAAATTTAGAAAGCCCTCCCTTCAGCTTCTAGTTTTCCCTTTACATTTCCAACCTTTAGGTTTAGCTCCTTAAAGGCAATTGAAAACTTAAAGGAAGTTTGCCTCTTCTATAGAACATGCATAGATAACTCTGTAATGTCATGGTCCTCAGTGTCCAAGCTAATCTCCCAATCCAGTCCTGGAAAAGTTACAGTCAAAGAACTAATTAAAAGCATTTTAAAATTAGTTCTGACCCACCCTCAAATGTTTTATTTGATCCGTCTCATTGAATTCAGGGGAAAAAAGACTTTTTGTTAAAACATTAAAGTACCAAGAAATTTCATTAAGTGACTTTGTAATGGCTTTAGTTAGGCCAAACCAACAATCAGCACAGAGGACCAACTAACCCTGACTTGACACCTCTTTCATTCCAGTCCGCATCTCTCACACACACACACAACACACACACAACACACACACCACACACACACACACACACCCCACTCGTCTTTAGCACTTGGTTTTGCCTCCTTCTTCTTTTCCATGAGCCCTGTTGGACCTGGAATGGTTCACTGCTTATAAAAAAAAGCAAATGGCATGTGTGACTTGAGGAGAAAAGTGCTTCCCCTATAGAGATTAGCTTGCCTGAGTGTCTCAGAAATCCACAAATTGAATGTCTGGTGGTCCCAGAGTCAGCTTGTGCTGGCTTTAAAGAAAATTTTCAGCAGTCCTATGAAGCCCAGAGCAAGGCCTCTATTCTCCTCCATTAGGGAAGATTTGCTGGTGTTGGTGAAAATCTGTTCCACCAACAGATTTGAAATGGTACTTTTCTTCATGTTCTTTAGCAAGTTTTCTTGGGGAGGGGAGGGGTGCAGGGGAGGATGTAATTCAGTGCCTGCATTTAAGCATGACTGTTTTCTAGATCTTTCAAACTTTAGAAAGAATTATGTTCTTACAAAGACCGGGTATATCACCTGTGCTTTCCTTAGGGTCGAGGTAGAGAGAGGTGATTTAAAGCATAATTGTGTGCTTGGTACTTATTAGAAATCAAGCCCTCAAGCAAAAAAAAATCAGCCCCTTCCCCATATAAACATGGAATTTTACACTATCTGTTTCAGCCCCCACACCCCACCCTAGTTTCTGGATGATTTTAAATGGTTCCCATCATCGAGAGTATTAGATCGCCACTCTCAAAAGAAACAACTTCCTCCTAAACCAATCTGTCATCTCTTTCTTTAAAGGACAAAATGATGATGTACTTTCTGTCCCATTTTCAACTGAATTTAGCAAGAAAATGAATCCTCACCAATAAACATATTCCATTCTCTCCTTCTGCAGAGCATCAAGTAGCTTCCTTATTTAAAAACTTGAGAAAGCTCTTGCACAGTTTTTCTCAAAGGGAGGTTGTTTTGTTTTTGTCTCTTTAACTAACCATATCCAAATTATTCCTTGAAACATCTTCTAGCCCATAAAGCAGAGGCAGGGTGGGGCCAAGATATTCCCAGTTGGCATTAGTGCCATCAACTAAAAGTCTGGGCTGGGAACATAGTCCTCTCATTATACACCACGGTGCAGGGGATCTGTTTTGACATGGACAACCAGATGTGTGTGAGTGTCTGTTTAGGGCTGGACAACACACTGTGTAGTAGGCCAAGAGACTGTTCCCTCCAGTGGAGCTGGGTGTGGTGACCAGAACCTGAGGAGATGAGAATGAGGTGTCTTGTGCTGTTGGCTTTAATCCCATTCTGTTTCCAAACCGATACAAATGACACAGACTTTCAGGGAGTAAAAACAAGATGGAAGACTGCAAGTAACACATTATCCAGGATGCCTTGCCCCACACCTATTTCCTACAAGCCTGATATTGAAATGCCTATCCCCAGTTTAGGAGTGGCTCTAGCTATGGAAACAGTGGGATTTAGACAAGCCAGTGCCACCCCAGGAACAAGCTGCATGAGGCCTACCCCTGGCTTTCCGTGTGACATCCAATCTGAATAAAGAGAAGTGGTAGAGAGAAAAAAATATCCTATCTTTGCTGGCAGGCCCTTAACTCTCCCAGGCCTGAGTGCCAGCACTATGCCCTCAGGGGCTCAATTAACCTTCCAACTGATACAACTGTTACTCTAAATAAGCTCTATGAAACACCAATTTGGCACCGCCTGAATTATTTAGGAATCATTTAGCAAATTCCATAGTAATCTAGACGATCAGTGAGCAGAAGGTAGAGCAGCAGTTCTCAAAGTGTGTTCCCTAGACCAGCAGCATGAGTGTCACCCAGGAACTTGTCAAAAATACAAATTCTTAGCTTCCTCCCCTCAGGACCCACAGGTTAGAAACTCTGGGGGTTGAGCCCCTCAGCTCACATCATCTATTCACATTACCTATCTAACTCTTGCACTTGGGAAACTGATTTTTTTCTGAGCAAAATTCTTGGCTATGATTTACTTCATTACATTTGCTTTTGGGATTATTTTACAAAGGAAAAAAAAAAAGAAGCAAAACTACAAAAATAGTAACTATGATATTATGATATCTATCGTACATGTATAAAACCAAAGGTTTAGAAGCCCACATGCTAACTTATCTGTGGTGCCCTTGTAGATGACTACAAACACAGTCAGAAAATAGAGACTGTACCCTATACATTAGGAAACACTTGCAAAAATGACACTCAGATTCAGAGTTCATTGATTACTTGCCATATGCACAGGCCAAGTTTATAAATCTCACCTAAGCTACAGGATAGAGCTTTGTTTTACCCTTCGAGAGCCCTTGGAGTTGACATTTCCCTTGCAAAGTGTGGGCATGCTGATAACTAAAAGAAGAATATTTTCTCCAAGGCTTCTGGATTCAAAGTCCCATTTAGTGTCTTGAAAGTTCAAAGACCATCATCCAACTATGGGCTGGGTTTGGCTGGGGCCTCCAATATGGGTTTAATCCCTGTAGACACTGGTTAGCTTATTTGGAACCAGACTCAGGATTGCATCCCCAGCCAGTTTCTGGCATGTCTGCTGTTGGGTCCAAGTGTTGGGCCAAGGATGGGTACGTGACTAATATTCCACATGGTCTAGGATGATCAGTCCCAGATATCCCCCTTGTTTCTGGAACAACGAAACTAAGTTTGTGTAGCGAAACACGAATACCACATGTTCTAATACTTAAGGCTATTTCCGAAAGTCATCCTTACAAACTCTAAAAGTCTGTTTTTCCTCTAGGATTTTTGATGACGGCCGTTGCGTTTTGAACTGTCCCTCAGGCAAATTTAAATTTATGAACCAATGCCATCTATGCCACTTCACCTGCCAAGAATGCCAAGGGAATGAGCTTTCCAACTGCACCTCTTGTGGAGTAGGTGAGGAAGTCTGATGGCTCACTTGTTCTTTGTTGCCTCAAACCTGTTCTACTGTGGGACATTATTTGGTTTGATTCAGAAGCTTCATCTCTGAGAACAAGGGGTTGAGATTAGACAGCTGTTCATTAGAAAGTTTTTACAACCTGGAAGTTTCTGCTTATTGTCAGGACACAAGTTTACATTACTGTAGACACAGACTCTGCCCCTGAGGAGATAAGAGAAAAGCTAAGAGATGTCTTTCCAGAGAAGGAGAAAGAAAGGGCATGCAAACAAGATGTCAGACAAGAGATAGACAGTAAAGCTAAGATTTGTTGAGGTAAAAGTGAAAAGCTAGGAAATTAAGGCAGACACATTCAGTCTTTAAGAGAAATATTGTAATAGAGGTTGTGTCAGGGTCTCCTCAGCCCTGAGCTATGCCATTTAGAAGTTGTCAAAGCCTTGTCAGAACAAAGTAACCATTTCAAAACACAAATATGACCTTCTCTGTCCTAGTTTTAACAACTCAAAATTTCTGATGTCATTGAATTATATTCTATAATCTTAAAGGTCCTCTGCGGTCTGACCATTGACTCCTCTCCAGCCTCCCTTCACATGCCTGTCCCCCAACTCTGATCTTATGTTGGACAGATTCATACTCTATTTGACCTACATAATACTTTTAAAATTTGGATCAAATTTTGAAACTGGGACAATTAAAAACCTGGGTTTTTTGTTTCTCTTAAATACTTGGAAGATCTGGCAACACTGGGCTTTCATCCCCCAAGTAATTGACTAGAGGCCATTTCTCCGTAGTCCCCATCACTCCCAGTTGTCTCACTGATCCTGAGGCTGTCAGTTACCACCGTCATCACACTTAACATGGCATTTCTGGTGAAAGAGAATTATTTATCTTTATCCTTACTTGTAATAAAACCAAGAAAAAGAACAAAATAAGAGCATAATGCATTTGTAGAAAAGTGGGAAATAACACATTTCTTCATATAAATTAAAATTATTTCTTTGTGTTTTTTGTAAACAGAATACATTTATGTCAAATTTTATCTCTAGCCTGCTCATTCTGTTTCTTTCCTCATTTATGAGATGGTGGCAACGGTTGCCTCTTTTTAGGATTTTGAAAATAAAATAAGACTAAATGAAATAAAATAATAAAGCACTTAGGGCTAGGCACATAGGAAGTTCTCAATAAATGTTAATTCTTTTTTTTATTATTGCTACTACTACTATCATTGTCTGTACCTCCTTATTCCTATGGGCATTTGAGTTTCTCTAGCTGTTCAAAGACTTCACTTGAAATGTTCTGAACTCCTTATCTGCCTGACCTCTTTCTATTCATCCTTTAGGTCTCAGTTTCAATGTCATTTCCTCAGTGAGGGCTGTTCCACCCTCTCTGTCTAGGTTAGGCCACCTTCCAAAGAGCATCCTTCGAGCTCTGCACTTCCCACTTTATAGGCCTCCTCGCACTTAATATCAATCTTGTCCTTAAGACTCTATGCCTTATAAGAGTACTGAATGGTTTTACCTGGTTTTTTGCTGTATTTTGAGCACAGTGTCTGGCATATGGAAGGCACACAATATAACTGAATGAATGATTCAGTAGAAAGAACATCAGTACCAGCAGTCAGAAAACCTGAGTTCTAGTTCCTGTTCTGTTACTAATGAACTAGAAGACACTAAATCAGTCACTTCACTTCTTTAAGTCTCTCCTTGTTTATAAAAGAAGGAAGCATAGATAAGATGGCATCCAAAATCCCTTTCAGATTTAAAACACACTAATTCTTCATACATAGTGCAAAATTAAGGAGTAGCCTGAATGCTAAACAAATGTCTAAAATGTTCTAAGTATCCTACAGCTATTTGGCCTAATCCATATATAAAATCCTTCAATGTTTTTAATGTATTTTCTGTTTGAAACTATATGTTTAATCCATTATGTTAATCAAAATTTATTGTGCCCCTCCCATGTACAAGTTGCCATGGAAAATGCAATCAATGATAGCATACTTGCCTTCAAGGAGTTTGCAGTCAAACAGGAGTTTATCCTCATGTGTTATAAAATAAGAAAACATTAAAAACCAAATATGGTAGAAATCCTACCACAAGTGAAAAGAGAAAACCCATCTTCAGCTGTAGTGAGCCAAAGAAGCTTCCTAGAGAGGGTATTGCTGAGCGAGCTCAGATTAGCAGGGTTCTCTCCTATTAAGAGCATGATGTCCATAGTTCTGTGCTAAAGAACATAGATGATTGAACTGATGCAGTTCTGTATCATTAGGCTGTCATAAAGGCTGAAAACCTCTGGTTAGGGAGTCCCATCCACACATATAAATCTTTTCCATCAATCTGTAGAAATTTTGCCCTTTAGTTAATTGTAATTTTGTTAAGATTTAGGTCTGAATTCTTTTGGACATGCAGATCTCCAGCTATGTTGATGAAGATTCACTCTTAATTTTCTTCCAGACTTATCCTCCTCCAAACTGGACCCAAAGCTAAATTCAACTAATCATACGACAGCTACAATAAGTGAAATAATGAAGTAAACGTCATAAAGTTTATTTTCAGAGTCTCTCAGCCTTTCTTTCTTTCATCCTTTCCACCAATCCTTTGCCCCCATGCCTTCAACCTTTGATCTTCCTTTCCTCCTGGAGACATCCAATGTCTTCACATTGGTCCCCCTTCTCTTCTAAAAAATCGACTGCCAAGAGATACATGGATACAGTTAATTAATCTTCAGTATAAATGAAAGCCAATCTGAACCTCTTTTAGAGTTCCTTGCACTCTAACTCTTGTCTCAGATTATCACATGAAAGTTTGGCACCTAACAAAAATATCTGCCCTTCTACTGCTAGAACCAGCTTCTCCTACATATCATTATATTTAAATTCTGAGACTCTGGGCAAGTAGTCCAAAATTTATGCATGGTATTTAAATCAATGGAGTATCCAAACTATCAGCCCAAACTAGGGAGCTGCCATGTGACTCAGGCTATTAGAAAAATGACCAAATCTTGGCATAATCTTAGACCAAACCTATGGGGAAAGCTGGCTGTGGCCAATACATCAAGTGACCTCCTTTTACAGGGTCCATGTATTTTAAATAGTAAGACCCTTCAAAGTTCTGTCCTTTAAATCCAAATTATAATATCTAAATCTGTCCAAATAATAAATCCATTTCTAAACAATAAAAATGGGATGGGAGCATATTTTCTCTGATATCCAAACCCATTATCCTTAATTTTTAAGATTCAGTTGGATATATTAGAAAAATAGGAATATTGCCAAAAATTAATTCACTCACTCACTCAGTCATTCACTCACTTACTCAATCATTCAGCAAATACGTATTTAGAGCTCACTCTATGCCAGGCTTCCCCCAAGCCTCTGGATCCTGAATTGATGTCATGTGAAGGTATGGAGAATCAAAACTGCTAGATAGAGAGAGACTAGTCTTCTCCCTCAGATCTTCCTACCTCTATCTGAGAGAAGAACATAACTTAGAAGGTTGACCCTTTTGTGGTCTCTTGAGATTCCAGGTTCTAGCAGATCAGGGTTTTGTGCTCCACAACATTGACTGTAGAATTACCAAATGCACATTACATCCTCCCAAACACTCCTTCCTTTAAGATATAATGTTCTTCTAAGTCAAATGTGGAGACAGCAGACACTTTCTTCCACCACCTCTTTCTTTTCTTTGTTCCTACAGGAACCAGCAGACTTCTGGCATGAAATCACCATTAGAAAAGTGGTAGCTTCAGAGACCATAATCCAAGGCTGTGGTTTTTAAATGGTATTTGAATGAGGATTTTAATTAAATAAGAAACATGGGGTTTAACCATTTGAGACTCATGAGTTTATGGGTAAAAAAAAATAGTCGAATGTTGGCACTTTCATGTGGTTCAATCTAATATTATATTCACTTTCAGTTTCTGAACTTGCAACACAGGGTCAATGCTATCTTTAGTCACAAATTCAGCAGCCTTGCATTTTGAAGTTCAATGGTTCTGGATCTTCATGTGGTAGATGGCATGATGAGTGAACACTAGACCCCGGTTATTTAGGGTAGCACTGATCAGCTATTCTTCAGAGGTCAGAACATATGGCATAATAAATACAATCTACCAACTTGACTTCAATACAAATTGTATGGCATATAGTCCAACTTTGTTCTATTTGTACCCAATCAAGCTGATCTAATCGATTAAATTAATGAAGGAGATAAAAATGTGGGTGACACATAGATCCTGAATGATGGTTTTGGATTTCATAATTGCTCTATGACTTCCTTGAAAATAAGCTACACAGCAATATATTGAGATCTGATTCAAAAATAGATATCCTAAACACTCAGCACAAACAAGAACTCTAGGAAAGTGGGGGTAGAGAACCTCTATGTGCATCCATATTAATCTTGTTCTTTAATATATATTTTTGCAACTGATTATAATTCATTTTCATTAATTGCAATTGTTTGTAACTGATTAGAATTATCTATTTCGTCCAGGAGCAAATTCCCTTAGTCTCATGCTAGGGATACTGCTGATTCTTTCCTTGTAGAGTCCAGTTTTGACAGAAGCTCAGGAACTTTCAGGAATGCACGTAAAGGAGTCAAAGAGGTGTGTTTGGTCTCATACTTCAATAGGCTGCCATTATGGCAGCTGTGCAAAAATTCAGAGCTTAGTTAAAGCAAGTGAGTAATTTTGATAACCGAATTCAAAATCATTCTTAAAAATTGGACTGTCTTAAAACTGTCATGTCTATCGGTAAGTGTTTGTTTATTCTCATGAGATTTCTATAGCCCCAGGTCTTCAAGCTTCCACAGATATGGAAAGGAGCCCTAGGAAAACTTTTCAACTACAAGGATACAGATACTGCACTTTTTATTAAATAGTCCCCAAGGAGCCTAAACCCTCGGTCATGTCTCTTTTTTAATAAAACATCTTAGGTTATATTAGCTTCATGGTTAATTGTGTACATTTTCACTTTTTTTGTTGTTCCTCAATCTGTTCAGATAAGCATGGCCGGGAGCGCTTCCTGTACCAGGGCGAGTGTCGGGAGAGCTGCCCTGTAGGGCACTACCCTGCTGAAGGGCACACCTGCCTGCCCTGCCCAGACAACTGCGACCTTTGCCACAGCGCACACATCTGCACACGGTGCATGGGTGGCTACTTCATAGTGCCCACCAACCACACCTGCCAGAAGTTAGAGTGTGGACAAGGTAAGGCTGCTCTGGAGCCACCAGGAGGTGGCATGGGGAATGGTACCCCCAGATGTCCCACAGACCTGGACTGTCTTCTTGGTTTACTGTCGATGCCTGAGATGACTCTGTATGACTATATATCATGTAGGGACAGTCACAGCTGCTCCTCTCTCTTGCCCCACACATCTGTTCTCTGGGTTTCCCCAGATGCAATCCAAGAGCATAGGAATGCAGCTAATCACATAGATATTGATCTTGAGTAGAGGGTTTGCAAGCAGGGTATGGTAGAGAGAAAATTAGATTAGAATCCAGAAGTCCTGGCGAACAATTTTCTCCTTCTCAATTACTAGACTCTGGGGAAAATTAGTCTGATTTCTCTATGCCTTGCTTCGTTTCTTCATAGCACAAAAGCACTTGCTGTGAGAAGCCAGTGAGAATCACCCTACCTACAACTACTCAAAAATATGAAAATGTTCTGTAAATCATGTTATTCTTATTGCCCAATTCCTTATCTTACACGGGAAGATGGAAAATTTAAAACAGCACTTACAGTTATTGTTGTCTTCCATATAAGAACACTGCAGACTTTCTCTGCTCTGCATAAGAATTATGCCTAATCTGGTGCTAAAAAGAGCTCTAAGATATTTCTAGAATAATTAAAACACATTCTTTTTCTTCTTAATGTTTACTAATGTAGTATAGGATTTAAACTTTTTTAAAAAAGTATTTAGAAGAACGGATAAAACGAAATAGACCCTGTTCATTTATATACCCAATTCCATATTCTCAGAAGCTGAACTTATTTCGTTAATAAATAAAATCTACCAGCTTCAATACATGTTGCATGGCATATCATCTAATTTTGTTCTATTTGCACCCAGTCAAGCTGTGCTAATCAATTAAATTAGTGGAGATAAAAATGTGGATACATAGATCCTTAATGATGGTTTTGGATTTCATAATTGCTCTATGACTTACTTGAAAATAAGCTACACACCAATATATTTTCATAGCAATTGATGTGTCTCCAGTCAGTGAAAATGAATTGTTTTTCACTCTTCTCACTATATAGATGAAGTTCAAGACCCAGATTATGAAGAATGTGTACCTTGTGAAGAAGGATGTCTGGGATGCGGCTTGGGTATGTCATCTTCCTTTGTTGGCTAAAGAGTTGAAATAGCTCTGTCCATTTTCGCACATCCTCATCCTGTCATTCTTTCAGCAGGGACTCTTGTCATTGTTGTTATCATCAGTGTCACCATCAATATCCATTAAGTGGGCTCACTCCCATGCATACAGGGTTGCAGAGAGGAATGCTCCCTTTTGAGGCAATGAATAGGTCACCTGTCTTCATGAAATTCAAGTTTAGAAAAGGACAGGCATCTTTTTCTCTGGCTGTTAGTTAATTGGCAGAGGATATCTACAGCAACCATATTTCAAGATTCCTGAGACTTGGCCTCTCCTTAGCTTTTCAAAGTCACAAATTTTAAGATGAACAATGGTGAGAGAGAAAGAAACTCAACCAAAGAAATGCCTAATTACTCTAACTCATTCAGTATGTAAAACACAAAAGCCTGTTAGGAGTTTGAGAGTTTTCCTTTGCAAAAATGACTAAATTGTTTCAAGCCCAAGACAATCCTTAGAGAAAAAAAAAAAATGTGGTGGCAGTGAGTTGAAGTCCTCATAATACAAGGAAAAGCATTTGTCAATCTTTCATATAATTCTCTAATTCCCATCACTGGCTCTTCATTTTCCCCCAGGCATGCCTGGTTCTCCTGTGGAGAGGGTGGTAGAGAAAGTCTATCCCACATAGCACCATTGGATTGGATATAAAATGAAAAAGAGGGAAGCCACCAAATTCCAGGAATGTGTCTTGCTGTAAATTTAGGCAAGATATTGAAACTAATTGCCATGTGGGTCTATGAATCTTTGAAAGGGAACCTAACCTAGAGATAGATGGAATAATTTTTCTTCATGGAGTTTCCATGATGTTTTCGCTAATCAAATTTGTTTATGGGCCTTTTATCAGGCTGAAAACAAATAGCATTTTATATAATATCATTTTGTCTCAAGAGTATTTGATGCCAAATTCTTTGCCTTTCTAATCAGTATCTTGAATGGAAATTTAACTAAGATAAATCTAAGTATTCTAAATTATATTTGTTCATTAATTGAGAATAAAAGAAAGTAGAATCATTTTTACCTAATGTTTTAAAATATCCTTTTTTGTTTTAATTTGGGAAATGTGGTAATAAGTATGACATATAACTATAGCCTAAGATTTGGGGCCCGTACTTATATCACCAATGACTCAATAATTTAATCAAATTGCATAAGATCTCTTTACCTTCATCTTGTCAGTAAAATCGAGGTTAATGTGCCCTTATCTTGGTTCATAAGTGGGCGATGAAAATCTATTAGCATTTTCTCACTAAAATGGCTATAACCCCTAGTTTTGGGAGAAAACCATATACAATTTTTTTTAAATTTTAAGTAAGGTGGAGACCCCCTTACTTAAAATTAATTGTTAAATAAGTAGACAAACATTTGCAATGACAGAATTTAGAGAAGGAGGAAATTCCTGGGCACAGAAATGGTCAAGGAAGGCTTCCAGAAGATGAGATTTGAGCCTTTGAGTTTCCATGGAATTTAGAAAGATAAGAAGGTAGGGCTACACTACAGAGGGGCTTTGGACCTGGACAATAGCAGTAAAAAGGTTTAGAAGGAAGAATTTCTGTCATGGATTTTAGAACACTGCATGTACCAATTTTGCAGAGGGAATAAGTAAATATAAGG